TTTTGTACAGACAGCACTTCAGACAGCATTATGCTGTAGTCGGCAATCTTCCGTTTTGGTATAGAGTGGGACAGGGAGGGGGTGATGCTACTGTAGTCGAACGGTGGGACGGACGTGCAGTTCAGTTTTTGGGCACGCATACGGTGCTGCAGGGATTTTAAGGTGTACCTCTTCGGGCTCTTGGATACCTTTTTCTCGTTAGATGTGTGCGTGTTCTTTAGATCCTCAGATGGCTCTAGCGCTTTCGTGACCACGGGCTGAGAGTCTTTTGCTAGATTTTGGCATTTGGCAACTGACATACGGTTTAATGTGAAGACAACAACAACAACAACATCGTTGGACTCTGTCGTCTGCCTCTGGCCCTTATCCTCCACTTCTACCAGCTAGACTACCCAACCGGGATCACATAGGAGGGGGGGGGTTGGACCCCCTCCTGCGGTTGGAATGTCGGTCCCCGACCCCCAAGCCCGGCGAAAAACTTGAATGTTTCCAGATACTCTACTGCACATCGCTCCTGCTGTTTGCAGTGGAGTTCGGCGAGCTAGCCGTGACAAAAGGCATAGCAACACGTTGCACGGGAGATGCATGCATGTTACGGACATGCAGCAGTTGGCAAATTGCACGCAATTGATAAAGTAGTTGGGACGGGTTGAAGACTCAATGAATGGGACAGAAACCACGGCCCAGGTTTCACAAGCACGAGGTGTTACACGTGTAACCGGCAAGCAGTATGCAGCTTGCCCGCAAGGGGTGTGGCGCGTAAAGAAAACTCAAGAACCGGCGTTCTAGAAGACAACGCAGAGGATCAGAAGGCGCCGGCAGGTGGCACCAACTTCTCGACTACCAGCTACGGAACTACGGAATACATATGCGCGCATGTTACGTACCCGTTGGAGATTGGAGATTGTACCCATCTCTCCGGAAAAGGGTTTTTTCCCTCAAAGAATATACTGGACGTTGGCCAAGCGGTACCGTTGGCTCTACGACTACGGGACAAGTTGGTGCTGGCAGACATGAATCAAACTTCGAGGGTTGGTTGTGATGGCGTTTAGACATCACACACGATGCGTCGAAGTCCCCTCCCATGTGTCTGAAGAAAAAAAAATTACTGGCCGAGCGCATGTGGCGCCAACACATTATGCTTTGTTTCACTTTCCACAATCCACAACGCATGATCGTTCGGTCCTAAAACATACCGACTAGAATAGTGCTCCTAACGTAGGCTGTTTTTCACAGGAAAAAGATGAACACGTCACCGCCCGTGTGCAAGTATTGTGAGATGCAATATTCTAATGATAGCAGCGACGCTGCCTTGAATGTGCTGCTGTGCTTGTCGGAGTGTTGAGTGCGCCGATTTGTGAACGTTCAGTTCAGGTGGTCACTGACCTGCCGGTCGGAATAAAAATTGTGCGCCATTTTTTTATTATCCAGAGGGACGATATCTTGCAGATAATTTCAGATTAAAACTTCTTGCCCTTGCCACCTGAATAAAACCGCGCGCTTCGTGGTCCTCCCTCAACGACAAAACTTGCTCGCGGGCTGTGACAGGAGTACCGTCACATCTCCGCCGGTATAATTACCACGCATGAAAATGTATTTTGTGCGCAGAAAGGTAAAACCTCGTGTGTCTCAGTGAAACCAAACGACCCGTCATATACTCTAGTTGGCGGGCAGCAGGGAACAGCAGTAGTGGCAGCAGCAGCAGCAGCAGGGCAAGCCGTGCTCTGAGCTCCTGCGATACTGAGTTACTTGCCAGTTCCGATTATTGGTTAGGCGCCCAGGCGTTTGTGTTCCTATTCTGGAAGCACACTTGCTACGCGGTGTGCCGACCGCGCCGCGTTGTGAACAGATCGCGCATTTCTTGCTGTCGCTATTATACCACAACTGGGTCCGAAAAACACTTGCCGATTTTTCCGAAAGCCTTGCCTTGGGCGAGCGGTGTAAAAACATTTCTAAACGTGAACGACACAAACGCACGGCAGCGGCGAGAAGAAAAAAAAAAGGCCGGCGTCGCAACTTTTTGTTCCTCCACAAAGAGCTAGGCAAAAAAAATTCAGAAGAATCTTTGTGGGGTACTCCCGTCCCCTCTCTCTCGCCTCGACAGGCATGTTGCGAAGTCGTATAGGTGAAGATGAACATGCGAAGACAACAACATGGTAGTGCGTTTCGCGAGCGCACCCGCGTGGGAAGTAACCAAGGAAAAACATGGGGCCGCGTCGATTTGGCTCCGCAGGGTCTCGTGATGCCGCGGTCGAGCACGTTACCATCAGGGGAGGTGCAAAAACAGTCGTCGTCCTTTCTCTGCACACATTACAACTAGCCGTTGTGTATAGGAGAGAAAAGAAGCCATCTTTTTTTCTTTTTCGCAACAAGCAATGGAAAGCCGCCCCTTACACCTGTGGCACTGAAAAAACCTCGAATCCGGAAAACACATCGATCGCAGCGGCCGCAGCAGAAAATAGATAAAAACGCGTTCGTCTTTCTCTGAGGTGATTGATTCCATGTGTGCATGGGCCACGGGGTCTCCTCCATAGGGAGCACAAGGAGGGAGATAAGGCCAGCAGGCAATCTACATCATGATTTAGATGGCTCCTCTGCCCAAGGCAGCGTACCCGATGATCCCACAAGGAATATTGACTTGAGACCACAAAAAAAAAAATCACCTTCATTTCCTTGATATGGGCGCCGTTTCGCCCGATCACCCAGCCGACGACCTCGGGTGCGATGTCCATAACGCACCGAACGAACCCAGGGAAGCGCTCCAGTACCGTGGGCACCGCAGACGCGGGCAGAGCGCTGGTCCCGTGCGGCAGGGAGGCAAGGGCGGCCATGGACATGCTGGAGTGGTGGTCAGGGGAAGCATTCCCTCGACGCTGCTGCTGCTGTTGCTGCTGCTGCAGAGACATGTGCTGATTACTTGGCGGGCTGCCTCTGCTTGTGCCAGCCATGAGCCTGCTGGTCCCGGGGCTCGAGTCCCTCATTGGTTGCTGCTGGCTCCGTTGGTGTTGGTCTTGCCATTGCACTCCTCCTGCTCCTCCTCCCTCGCTCATGCCTTGATGTTGTTGCTGAGGTCCTCCTGCCATGTTTCGGCCCTGGCCGCCTGGGCCCAGAGCCAAGCCACGAGCAGGCACGAGCATTTGCAGCTGCTGCTGCTGCTGCTGCTGCTGCTGCTGCTGCTGATCCGCGAGCATGAAGGCAGGGTGTTGTTCGAAGTTAGATCGATGCGGCTGCTGCTCATGCTGCCTGAGCGGAGCAGGACCACCACCGCCACCGCCTACCTGCATGCGTGGGAGCGACGGCTGCATGGATTGGCCCGCGGCGGCGGTCGCTCCCGCAAGGAATCTCGCCGAGGCGGCAGCGAACGCGGCAGTGCCCCCTTCGTCTACATGGCGGGTGTGCGGAGCGTGGTTGGGAAGCTGCGGCAGGGGCTGCTGAGGGTGGTGTTCAAGGGAGCCCCCGGCACCGCCAAAGTGGGAAGGTCCCTGCTGCTGCCCGGCGCTGGACTCGGCACCTACCAGCCATAACCTCCTGTCGACCTCCTGCTGCTGCTGCTGCTGCTGCTGCTGTCCGCCGCTCTTCTTGGAGTCAGCCCCCGCTCTCGAGCCCATGGGTCGAGGTATCCCACGCTCGGGGCTCACACGGCCAGGTACGCCGACGCGCTGCTGCTGCTGCTGCTGAGAGTCGTCGATGACTAACCTACCCCGAGGAACGCAAACCGCGCTCCCCCCGTCCAGGGCGTACGCGCCGCCGCCGCCGCCGCCCGCGGGAGGGGGTTGTTGTGGACGGCCTGCCGCCGCCGCTGCCGCCGCTTTGTCGACGAGCAGGGCGAGCGTGTGCTCGCTTGCGCTGTTGCCGCTGCTGCTGCTGCTGCTGCTGTTTGCAAAGCCCGCTCTTGGCCAGTGGGCTCCTACAACTGCGGCGTCTCCGCCTCCCGCGCCGTTCACACCCCAGCGTCTGGAATCCGTGTCGCCGAACGCTACCGGTGGCATTGCTCGTGTGATCTGTCCCAACTCAACTCATGTACCGGGCGTGGTTTTTGGGCGACTGTCGGGACTGCGAAACGAGGTGTTGATGTGTGTGCACAAAAGAGGAGCTAGACGTGCCATGATCAATCACACCTTACGACCCAGCTCCAAATGTCTCTCCGTCCAAAGCCCGTCGTTTTTTTCTGATTCTTTTTCACTGAACCACAAAGGGCACTGTTTTTTCGAGACGATAAAATTCGGCTGTTCCCTGAACCATTCACGCCCGGACGCACGTGCAAAAATCGCCTCTTTGTGATAAGATATATTCATGGTTGACCCTCCTCGTCCCAGGGGCACACCATGGCTGTTCTTTGAAAAGTTTCTTGTTTCTGAGGGATTCAGACCAATGGTTGCGGAAAACTGCGGGACACGAACCAAACTTTGTACACAGCATGTCTCTTGTCGCTGAGGAATGTTGCACCGTTGGTTGCTTGCTCCACCTCTACCCCTTCGTGGGGAGTGTAGTGTGCTTGCTGTGGGTGCGCTCTCACCGCTCGATCCCACTCTGAGCGAAGAGATCCCGCATCACGAGAGCGACCGTCGCCCGGTAGCTTGAGAGTTGCTGTCAATTTTTGCAGTTGCTACATGTACATTGCAAGACTTACAGATCCAACGCGTCCCTTCGTTTCTCACAGCCGACACATATGTCATCTACCCGACCTGGGACCAGGGCCAAAACCCGGCAAGCTCCCGAGAGAGCTGCCACCTTGGGACATGTAACCGTTGCGCGTGGGCGGGGGATCCTTCGCTCAGAGTAGTCTCTGATCTTAACGTTTTTATCGTGGCCTCCTTCGCTATTTTTGACAGGACGGGTGTCGCCCGCTTCTTCGTTGACGTATGTAGTATTCAGCCCCCAGCTTGCCCTTGCTCAACGAGAAACAAAATGCCCGACGACGGAAATATGTCTGTTGGCGGGGCGGCGGTGTTCCTCTGTATTCATGAACCAAGATTCAAATGTAAGATACCTCATAGACTTTCTTCCCAAGTAGTGTGCACATGTATCATAAGCATTTGCAGCCGGCGGATAGACAGCAACGGTACCGAGTTCTTCTTTGTTTGTACATAGACTATCTATCATCCCAGATTCTCTTCTAGATATGGACGCGTTTTGATCTTTGCCTCTTTCGGGCATGCGTGCATGCAGGTCTCGCATCCTCGAAGATAACACTACATGCCCAGTCCAGCCGGAAAAAGACGGCGATATAGTCTAGACTAAATATATATTTAAATATATACATATATGTACAAACGCCGCACTTTCTTCTTCTCCTCCTGGCCTCCACCCACCTCTACCTCCACCAGCACCGACACCACCGAGAGTCTACATTCTCTTAACCACCCACAATATACATGACTCTGTAGATAGCTGACATGTTCGTCGACTGCTGTACTACTGCAGTACTGATGTAGTAGAACTTTCAGAGCTTGATACGCCAGATGCTCGACTCTCGAGGTAGCAGCTACCTTTACCATAGGCCTCATCGGCTTACAGCAGTGCAGGGAAGCATGTAGATAGACTCCACTACAACATACATAGTGTTTGTTGCAACCAATAGGACTGCAAAAACAACAATGGACTCTTGATCGTGTAGCCGCATGATTTTCTCTGTGGGCTCGGCATCTGTGATTGATGCAGGTGAGAGATGCGAGGAACAGCCGCAAGACTCAGTGTTGCAGAGGAGTTCGAGGCTCGTTGATAACAAGCAAAGAAGGCCCATGGAGAGACCCAGAGTTAGCAGACGTATACTTATGTTGGGTAAACCGGGTAGGCCGAAGTTTGTAGGTTTGTGGGGAAAGGCAGCTTGGCCAGTGAGGGGCGAGATGAGAAAGTCTTGTATTAGAAGGGAGGGGGGATAGCAGAGAACACTCCTGAGGAACCGAAGAGAAAGTCACCACACCCTTCCGTCTCGCAAATCAGATCACTCATCGAATCTCCGAAGAAACCAAGTAGAAACTCCCTGTTCCTCCGCAATCTACCAATTGCAATCTCCGTAGANACCCTTCCGTCTCGCAAATCAGATCACTCATCGAATCTCCGAAGAAACCAAGTAGAAACTCCCTGTTCCTCCGCAATCTACCAATTGCAATCTCCGTAGATCCATGTCCCATATTCAACAATCTTTACCATGGGCGCCTTCCTCACAAGAGTTTGTTGTTGTTGTTGTTGTTCCTCACATTAGCTCTAAAAAAAAAAAAAAGGGAGCCCGTGGTCTCAAAACCCGGCATACACGACCCCACGAAGAAACAGAAAAAA